CATGCTGCTGAATGATGAGGAAACCGAGACACCGGTTCCCTTCCGTGACCTTGTAACTCCGTTCGTGTCCCTTGTAGATTGGCTGCCTGTCTGTCGTTTGCATCCATGACCCTCGACCCAGTGCCACGCGCAACACAAGAGTGTCCTTGAGCTTGATTATATATATATAGACTCAAAACCAATAAACAAAACAAAAAAAGATTTCTCTTTAATGACACTGTTTTGGTGAGGCCATGAGGAAACAGGCCCTTGGATTTGTTGCCGATGTAAACAGAGGTCAACAGCGCAGCAGGCTACATACGGACCTGCTGACCACCAGGTCCATGGGGCGAACCCGCCGGTCACTCTGAGGGAGAAAAATGAGGCTGTCTACACTTCCAGAGATTTCAAGTCTCGGAAGCCCAGAGGGACAGTTCTGTTCTGTCCTACAGGGTCTCCATGAGTCGGGGTTGATGAGATGGCAGTGAGTTTATCAAAGTGAACCCTACACATTCCTGGGGGCCAGCAAGTCCACTTGTAGATTTACGCAATTGATAATATATTTACCCAATAGAAACATTCACGCACGTGTTCAAAGTTGCATTTACATGATGCTATTGGTTAAAACAGCTTGGATTAGCAAAGGACTGGCAAGAACCCAATCTCCATTTGAAGGGCTCTGGTTAGACAAATCTCACAGTAACCCTATAGGACTAATAGAGTTTCTAGACTTGCTCCTGTGCATTATGGAAGCTGTGCATCTTTATGGGAGGAGGAAAGCCTTGCCTTCATGACACACAGAAAAACAAACTCACCGCCATTGAGGCAATTCTGGCTCCCAGTGACCCTATAGGACCGGGTCGATCTGCCACTCTGGGTTTCTGAGATGGAAACTCTTTTTTTTTAATTTATCATTTTATTGGGGGCTCCTACAACTCTTATCACAATCCATCCATCCATCCATTGTGTCAAGCACATTTGTACATTTGTGGCCATCATCATTCTCAAATCATTTGCTTTCTATGAGCCCTTGCCCTCCTCATTTTACCCCTCCTTCCTGCTCCCACCTCCCTCATGAACCCTTGATAATTTATAAATTATTATTATTTTGTCATATCTTACTCCATTCGATGTCTCCCTTCACCTACTTTTCTGTTGTCCGTCCCCCAGGGAGGAGGTTATATGCAGATCCCTGTAATCGGTTCCCCCTTTCCACCCCACCCTCCCTCCACCCTCCTGGTATTGCCTCTCTCGCCATTGGTCCTGAAGAGATCATCTGTCCTGGATTCCCTGTGTTTCTGAGACTGTAACTCTTTTTTTTTTTTGAGACTGTAACTCTTGATGGGAGTCAAAGGCCTCATCTTTCTTCTAAGGAGTGTCTGGTGGATTCAAACTGCTGACCTTGCAGTTAGCAGCCCAAATGCATAACCATACACCTTTATGGTATATCTATGCCAAACCATTTTATGTAATAGTAACATAAAATAAGTACAGTAAAAGAAGGAGGCTGTGCTCAAGTAGAGATTTCCTAAGATACAGTCAGTGAAAAGGAAAACAAGTATCAAATGATGTGTATTGTGCTGTTGACACTGCCACTTCCTTCATCTACATAAGTGATAAGATTCTCACGCAACTGTCTCTGGACTGGCACCTGGCTGACAGCGATTATGAGGTAAGTACTGATTTCAAAGAGGCTAAAATAACAGAGAACGCAAAAGCCCCTTAGACTCAATTGAGCTAATAACACTTGGTGCTTGTGGGTCAGGGAATAGGGAGACTGGGGGCCCCAGTATGGAAGAGACTTTTTACTCAAGCACTTAAAAAATCAAATTATAACATAAATGCAAATGATGATTTTTAAAAGCAGGGTAAAATGATTTTCATTGTACAGTATGACTTGTGAGGCAAAATATAGTGTGTGGGTGTGTGTGTGTTTGTAAGAATACCAACTGGGAGGCTGAGGGACAAAGAAAGGGGATAGACAAGCCTCTTTTTACTCCTTAGTCGTATTTGAAATTTATACTGTGTGCACTAATTATCCCCTAATAAGAGACATGTTAACATAATCTTGTCAAAGTTTAAAAATGTTCAAGTTAATAATGCTAGAAACCACTGCCATCGATTCGACCCTGCTCCCAGCAGCCCTGTAGGATTGAGTTGATCTGTCCTCTAGGGTGTCCAAGGATGTCAGTCTTTCAGGAAATGGACTGCCTCGTTTTTCTCCTGGGGTAGAACCACCAGCCTATCACTAACCACTGTGCCCCCAGCCCCCCAAACGAAACAAAACAAAACTCACTGCCATGCAGCACAGGGTAGACCTGCTCCCGCGGGTGTCTAAGACTGTAACTCTTTCTAGGAGTAGAAAGCCTCCTCTTTCTCTCGCAGCGCAGCGGGTGGTCCCACACTGCCAACTTTGTGGCTGACAGCCCAGGGAGTCACCATTCCGCCACCAGGGATCCTTAATGCTGGCAGACTTGCTCTCATTACCAAGCACCTCCTGGATGCGAGGGCCTGTGCTGTGTCTCGACGAATACTGACAATTTCCTTGCCAAAAAAAACCCCTGGTACCTTACTCTCACTTTACCAGAGCCCTGGTGGTATAGTGGTTACGGGAGAGAGACTGGGATGTCTACTCAGTTAGGGTCTGAGAAACCCACAGGGGGTCGCCGTGAGCCAGCATTGACTTGATGGCAGTGACTTGGGTTGGGTTTATTCTCACTTGAAAGCAGACTTATGCAAGTCGTTAGGAAACTTACCAGTTGCTGAGGCACAGTAAGGTCTGAAGCTAGGATTCACTCTAGCCCACAAGGGCGTACAACAAGAAAACCCAAAACCAAATTCTGACTTACAGCGGCCCTATAGGACTAAGGAGAACCCCCTTGCTGCATTTCAGAGACTTTAAATCATCTTTATGGCGGCAGACAGCTTCATCTTTTTTTTAAATCGTTTTATTAGGGGCTCATACAACTCTTATCACAATCCATACATACATCAATTGTGTAAAGCGCATTTGTACATTCATTACCCTCATCATTCTCAAAACATTTCCTCTCCACTTAAACCCCCGGCATTAGGTCCTCAGTTTGCCCCTCCCTCCCCGCTCCACCCTCCCTCATGAGCCCTTGATAATTTATAAATTGTTATATTGTCATATCTTGCCCCAGACAGCTTCATCTTGCTCCCCAGAAACAATGGTGGTTTCAAATCGCTGACTTCAAGGTTAGCAGTTCAAATATGCCACTCACTATGCCACCAGGGCTCCTTATAAAGTGAAGAAAAACAGAACAAAAACTCAAACTCACTGCCCAGCAAATCAATACCAACTCATGGTGAACCTAAAGTGAAGCGCCCCAAGCAAATGTGGGTCCTTTTCCCGGCCTTGGTCTTGGCCCTGGTGGGACCAGGAACCCCAGGAAAGGGCAGGCTCTGCTATGATGCTATCAGAGTCCTTACAGCTTTGGAAGAGCAGAGAAGCCCCCCCCCCCCACGGAAGTGTCTTTCAAAGCCCCCCTCACTGCCATCAAGTCGATTTGGACGCCTGCCTGGGGAGTGTCTGGAGACCCCCAAAGAGCCGCGTGGGCCCCTGTGCATGGTACCTAGGGTTAATTCAAACCCTGCCCATCTTTCCCAGACGCAAGACAGACCCAACACCTGGCCCTGGGGCCACTTCCCCTTGCAGAGCCCTTCAAATCTGTGTGATTGTGACCCTCTCCCCATCGCCACAGGGCCCTTTCCTCAGCATAACAAAGAGAGTGTACTACCTCCGCCTGCAGTAAAAATCCTTCCAATCCACATTGGATCTTCTCCTTGGGCCCCAGTCTAGGGTAGCCAGATTTAGCAAACATGAGAGCAGGCTGCGCAGGCTCAAAGTGAATGACAGCTAAACAATGAGTCATTTTCTAGTATGCCTTAAAGTACCGCATCCTTTATTTTAAATGACACTGTTACCCCTGGCTGTTTGACCAGTTGTCATTTATTTATTTATTTTCCAATTCCATATTAGTTGTTTGTTTTTTAACAATGTCACCAGCACACAGTTCACAAACCATGTCATATATTTCAATAGTTCGGTCACATTGGTAAGAATTGTGCATCCCATCCCTATAATCAATTCCAGTACCTTTCTTCTTTCTTGTACTCCTTTGACCCATACTGTTATTTTCCCAGCACAACTTTCCAACCAGTCTGAAGTCCAATTTTAAGAAAGGCTGCAGTGTTTAGGGGATTTGCCCCCTCCCTGCCCAGGCAGGTCACTGGATTCATGGCGCTGGCTCGCCTCCCTCACAGGCCAGGCCAGAACACTGCACTGCATCAGTCTGAGAGTTGGGAAAGAATCCAGGCTGAGAACACTTGCATTACCTGCAAGTACTCGGGGGCATTGTTTTATCTCTGAGTCTGGGCTTTCTCGGCTCAAATATGGGCAGAAGGAGTGGACTAAATGATTGTTTACATTGAAAACGCTTCGGCTATGAACAGCAGCGAAGAGGGGGAGGATTGGGATCCTTATGGAACCTAACTCCATCAGGACCAAATGTTCCAGGCTCCCCACACCACCCCCAATAGCCCTGGCTGCTAGTATCCAACCCTGCAGGAGGGTTGAAGGCAGCTCCAGTACCTGCTTAAGTAAGGAACAGGGCAGGGTCCTTCAGTGAATGCAGAGAGCAAGTAATCCAGAAGACCAGGAAGACTTTTGTCTCCCACCTCTTTTGTAAAAGCAAGCTTCTAATTTAACTGATAAGGCACCCAACCAAGGGGAGGGCTCATGAGTGCTCAGCTGCAGGGACAGCAGCAGCCAGGGCTTCAGCCAGTGTGGCTTGCAGACAGCCCCTTGTGCCCTTTCCAGACAGCCCCCTCCTCCAGCCTCAGGGACCTGTCTGGCTGCTGAGCCCCCAGGTGGTCCAAGGGGTGTGCCCTGCCTCTCTCCCTCCTCCAGCCCACCCTACCCCAGGCCCAGCCCAGGGCTTCTATAAAGCTGGCCCAGCCTGGCTCTCAACACACCCACTAGGTTTCAAGTCCCTCCTGGACCCTCTGCCAGAGCACACTGTCTCTGCGCCTGGCTCCCCCGAGCAGCAGCATGTGGTCGCTGTGGCTCTGCTGGGCAGTGTGGGCACTGCCCCTGACCGGCCCCGCAGCCGCCCTGAGCGAGGAGCAGATCCGGGACAGCCTGCTGCAGCAGCTGCACCTCAGCGAGGTGCCTGTGCTGGACAAGGCGGCCATGGAGGAGCTGGTCATCCCTGCCCACGTGAGGGCCAAGTACGTGGCCCTGCTGCAGCGCAGCCACAGGGTCCTCTCTCGAGGGAAGAGGTTCAGCCAGAAATTCCAAGGTGAGGCCGCCATCCCTGCCATCCCTGGGCTGGGAGGGTGGTGGGTAAGGCTGGGGTGTCTGCTCTGCTGGTGTCAAAAGGACCCTGGCTGGGGTTCTGTGGGTGGGCTGCCAGGAATCAGGGGTCCTGACTCAGAGGTCAGTGAGGAGGGAGCATGGGGGCTCTTGGGTCCTGGTCTGCATACACTGAGGGCCCCACCCATCAGGTCCCAAGGAGGTGTGGCAGACCAGAGCCAATGTCCAAGCCAGGACAGAGGGGAAGGCACAGGGAAAGCAGAACCTCTCTGAGGGGCTGGGTGTGGCGAGGCCCCAGGCTATCAAAATGCAGGCAAGTCTGGACTTCTTGGATTCCATTTCACACTGCCTTTAACGGGAAACGGGGTAGAACTCTGGCCTTCCAGGAAGGAGCTGTGGGTGCAATCCTGGCCAATGCGCCCCAGTCCTTCAGGGGTGCCTTGGGTGTTGCTGACCAGGTTTCAGCAGCGCTTCCAGACGAAGGGAGACCAGGAAGGCAGTCCTGGGGTCTACTTCTGAAAAGCAGCCAGTGAAAATGCAATCCCAGCCGTCTGGTCATGAGCACAGGGTCGCCAGGAGATGGGGCTCAGACCCTTGGAAAATGTTTTCAAATCTCTGAACCTGTTTGCCCATCTGGGAAAAAGATGGTCTGACTGTCTTGTCTACTTGTTAGCATTCAAGGGAGTCAATGCCCACAGATAAGGCCCTTTCTGCATAGCTGAAAGGTATGACTTGTTTGGGTCAGCTGTTAGGGATGCAGTGGCCTGGGGTCATTTTAGTGCCCCCAGCGTTGCCAGATTTCCTGAGGTAACCCTCCTACAGGGGTGCAATTGTTATTAAAAGGCCCCAAGTTCCAAGGGAGACTTTTAGCCCTATAACGCCGTTTTTGTAACATTAAATTTAATGTATATATTGATATATATTGATAACTATGAAAGTAAAGAATAAAAACAAAAAAATTTTTTTCCTGAAATTAAAACTTCAGGCGTTATTTAGGTAACTGGTGACCTGGGTGTACAAACTGTTCTCTTTGGCCAGCTGAGAGGTTAGAGGTTTCACTTGGGGCTGCTACCTGCAGGTCAGCAGTTCAAAACCACCAGCCGCTTCTCAGAAGAAAGACGAGGCTTTCTATTCCTGTGAAGAATTAGTCTCAGGAACTACATGTCCTTTAGGATGGCTATGAGTGGGACTTGACAAGACGGCAGTGAATTTGATTTGGGGTTTTTTTGAGAGGTCCCAGGCATTTGCTTCTGATAGAGCAGCCATTGACCAACTCCCAGTCTTGTGGCACCCAAGGGATGGCAGGGCAGCTGGGACCCCTTGATGGAGTGACCTCAAGAGGTGCTGCTCTTTCCCAGCCGGGCTAGCGGGCCCATCCCTGGCCCTGCCACCCCCAGGGCTGGCTCCCCAGTCCCTAGAGAGGCCCCACTGACCGTGCTGGTGTTCCCAGAGGTGGCCGGCAGGCTCCTGGCGTCCGAGGCCTCCCGGCACCTGCTGGTGTTCGGCATGGAGCAGCGGCTGCCGCCGGACAGCGAGCTGGTGCAGGCCGTGCTGCGGCTCTTCCAGGAGCCGGTCCCCAGGGCGGCGCTCCGCAGGCAGGAGCGGCTGTTCCCGCGCAGCGCCCGGGCGCGGGTCACCGTCGAGTGGCTGCGCGTGCGCGACGATGGCGCCAACCGCACGTCGCTCATCGACTCCAGGTGGGGCCCTGCGGCGCGGGGGAGGGGTGGGCGTGGGCATGGGGGAGGGCAGGGGCGGGGCGTGCGCGTGGGGCGTCCGGGCTGGACAGCGGGGAGGCTCTGGGGCCCGCCGTGACGGCCGGTCCCCGCTCCGCCCCTAGGCTGGTGTCCCTCCACGACAGCGGCTGGAAGGCCTTCGACGTGACCGAGGCGGTGAGCCTGTGGCAGCAGCTGAGCCGCCCGCGACAGCCGCTGCTGCTGCAGGTGTCGGTGCAGCGCGAGCACCTGGGCCCGCTGGCCTCGGAGGCGCACAGGCTGGTGCGCTT